AAAGTAGAGGTAATAAGAAGGATGGAGAAAAAAGGCGCTGAAATCTAACCTGCCTTTGAGAAGGAAAAGGCTTTGGTTGGGCCAATACTTCTAATTTAATGGAATATTTGAATGAAGAAGATCTAGTGGGTAAGAAATATCATTGGAGACAAGTCTGTTTTTGGAATGCAAGGGGCGACGGCTAGGGCAAGTTGGCACCATAGGTTTAATCCTGGTGTGCAGAACCGAGAGTGAGAGGGAGGCAATTGAAGATGAAGAAGCAGAATTTGTAAATGAAGAGGGATACGAAGAAGGGAAAGTGAGGGGGCATCGGCTCTTCCCAGATGAATAGAGAGAATCAGGAGAGAGAGAGAGAGAGAGAGCTAGAGTGCGAATGGGGGGACACAGACCGACCTAGACGAATGAAAGGGTCTTCTGCTTCCTCCTCTACAGACTGCTGATCTGAGCATCTGTTCATTCTATGTCTTCTATACTCCAAGACGGGACTCTGTCATTGTTTCATCACTAAAACATCTATACCTTAAGCTGAAATGAGAGCATCATGCGAGTGCCCCATCTAATAATGACAGAAATGCATTTTAACAAAATCGAAGCCTATGATAGCATGGGAAGCCCAACTCTTTGTCAAATTCTTAAATGGTATGGTTTTCCTACTGATTTTTCTAACCTTCTTATGGAGTGTGTTGTAGATTTGAGGTTTTCCATTATTATTAATGGAAAGAATTCGAAGTGGATTAATGCTCAAAGTGGGTTCCGTCAAGGGTGTTCACTTTCACCATACCTTTTCATCTTGTGTTCTCAACTTATGTCCAACTCACTGGAGCAAAGGGGGCAGACTCTTGGCATTCAAATCTCTCCTAGAGGTCCAAAGATCACACATCTCCTTTATGTAGATGATGTGCTAATTTTTTCGCTTGTCTCCATTACCTTAGCTAATGCCTTGAAGATCATTATGGAGGAGTTCTGTAAGTGGACAGGTCAAAGAGTTAATTTCAGCAAGTCACAGATTATCTTCGGCAAGGTTGTTAGTTACCTTATGAAGAAGAAGATTGCTAGAGTACTTGGCTTCAAAGTGGTAAAGGAGATGAATTACCTGTGTGTGAAGATCTATCTTAGTTGACTTAAGATGGTTGACTTTCAAGTGCTTCTGAGTAATGTCATGGATAGACTTAATGCTTGGGGTAAGAAGTCATTGTCAATGGGAGGTAAGCTCACTCTCATTGAAATCTAGTTGCTATCTATGCCAAAATTTTTAATCACTCATTCTTTGGTTCCCAAAAGGGTGTTACATGAGTTGGAGAAACTTTGTAGAAATTTCATTTGGCATAAAATTGATGGGACTAATGGTATACATTATGTTGCTTGGGGAGAAATTTGCAAACTGAGAAGTATGGTAGGGCTAGGTTTGCATTATCCTTTACTCAGAGTTGGATCTTTAAGTTCTAAACTGGTTGGAACTTTATGCAGAAGCCGGATTCGTTGTTCCATCGAATAATGAAATTTAAATATGAAAGTGATGTTATGAATGGAGCCCAAAAGAAGATTACTTCTCGTGCTTGGCAAATTTTGTTGGATGGTGGAAGACATTTGAAAAATGATGTTAGATGGAAAGTGGGCAAGGGGGACAAGATTAATGTCTTGTATGATGCATGGTTTCTTGATAAACGCATCAATCGGTCGCCAACATTTGATGATTATGATTTTCTGGAAGGTTTATATGTACAACAGCTTTTGTTATGTCTTGGTGAATGAAATTATACCGTGCTACAAATGGGCTTTCATACTGATTTAATCTTATTGATTATTTAAATCCATATTGAATATGAGGCGGAGGATCGGGTGGAATTGATGAACATGTGTTTGGGTAAAACAGTTTCTGCATTGGCATATGAGCAAATATTGTTTAACAGATTTACCTTGGAGGATGATGGGTACTGTAGATGGGTGCAGATGTTGAAACTAAACAAAAAGGTATAAATCTTCTGGTGGAGGCTTGGTAAATCAACGATTCCAACTAATTTGTTTCTCAAGAACAACAGGATTTTTGAAAATGATTTATGTGCTAGAGGCTGCAAGTCAAATGAAACGTATGAACATATTATGGTTCATTGCAAGTATATGGTTGAAGTCATTGTGAAGATGCTTGATTGGGGTATCCATATCCCTGTTTTCCATTCTCTGGATCGCTGTCTACAGGAGCTAAAGAGGCTAACAGCCCAAAATTCTGGGATTGTTAAAATTTACTGCACGATTGTTTACCTTTCTTGGAAGAATCGGAATGATGTCAAGCATGGCAAAGATGCTTTGCCGTGTTCTATTGTAGCTTCTAATGCTTTATTCTTAGCCATTTCCAAATCTAGTCCATATCTTACTAGCTGAGGTTCTAATCTCCTTAGGGAGTCTCAAAATATTTGGTGCCCTCCACCGAAAGATTGGATTAAGATTGATGTGGATGCTTCATTTCTTATTTCAAATCTTGCTGGAATTGGTGGCATTTTTTGAGACCACAAAGGCAGATTTTTCAGTGCATTTGGGAAGAATAAAGTCTATTGGGATATTGCTCAGCCTGAGCTGGAAGCTGTAATCACGATAAGGGAATTCATAAGAAGTTGGATGTTGGAATGCAAAGGTGTTATTATTGAGAGCTATAACATCAACATTATTACATTCATTCAAAAATCTTTAAAGAAAAATAACTAGCATGTGGATAGGTGGCCGACAAATGATTTATTTTTCTTAAATGACTTCAATAAAGTATTTTTCCATCATGCTTATAGGAGTTGTAATAAAGTAGCTAATTGGTGTGCTACTATGGCATTGGAAAGTAGTTTCTTTTTTGATAGCTTTTCTTTTGATAACATTCCTTCCTTGTTGTTGAACTTAATCAAGGAGGAAAGTGATCCTTTTATTACTTGTAATTAGTTTCTTTGTTCTTAATGCAATTTGATGCAGTTCTTCAAGAAAAAAAATGGAGCTATAGAATCTAAGGGCCTAATCAAGAAATTAGTTCAAGTTTATTAAAAAGTTGATTAAAACTAAAATAGAACTAAATGGATCCATTCAAGTGAAACTTGGGTTTAAAATCAAACTTGATTTGGGTTTTAAATCAAAATTGATTTGACTCGAATCGGACTGACTCGGGTTCGATGCGGCTCGACTATGCTAATTTAACAAAAAATCAAACTGAAATTGATGTCGATTTTAATTGAATCAAGCTCAATGTGGCTCGATCAAATTGATCTAACATGCTTGAGGGAAAATCAAGATAAAAATGAGGTCAACAGTAGTGATGAGTTAAGTAAAAATTTGAATGCTAATTGAGTTACATTTTGGCTTACAACTCAAAATTAACACCTCAGATAATGACCACACCGAGCTCAACTCCAAATTTTTGTATAAGATATCATTTAGGCCTCGAACATATCATGCAATGATTTGAATATGTGACTAATTGAGATTTTTCCATGCACTCAACCTGTAGAATTCTTCCGTATATTCACTTACAGAATGAGCCCCTTGCACAAATGCTGATATTTTAGGTAAAGTATTTACTTAAAATTATTTTGAAGGGAATGAGCCCTCAAAAGCTATTTCATCTTATACCAACTCCAAATCCCTCATTTCCATGTCATTTGGAAAAATTGTGCCCACTAAGCACTAGCACCTTCTCACAACCTGCAAGAAACATAATTCACTTAATTGTTTGGTTCAACCTCTAGGTCCTAAAAGAAGATCACAATGACACATTCCTTGTCCTAGTTGTATTCAATGAGAAAATGTCCAAGGAAAATAAAATTAGTACAATAATAACGACAACAACATCAATATTTCTTCAATATCTATTTAAAATTTTAAATTAAAAAATTTTAGAGGGTTCATAAATTAAATTTTATTTATACAAAAATTTTATTCATATAATTTAATTTATATGATATATAAAAACTTAAAAAAGTAATTACAGTGAGTATTAGTATGATCATGCCCCCTAATTTGCCCTTTTATTTTACTATAAAAGCTTAATGTGTTTGTAAAATATCAAGTTATATCATTAATCAAATGAGGTTCAAAATATCATTAAGACACTTTGGAAAGGGCTTTAATGTCAATGCCTTAAGCCCTACTTATTGTATCATGAGTTGGAGATAAGAACTTTTTCTTTTAATGGATGAACATAGGTTTTAGAATTATATAATAATTATGGATGAACATACACATAAATGATGCATGCAGATAGTGGCGTAGTAAGAATTTATTTCGTGTGAGGGATTAATACTTTAAAAGAAAATTCTTGAAAATTATGGAAATGTAAATCACATAACTTATCATTATATAACTCTTAATTATCAATTGCTTGGAATCTTTGGTTTTAGCCAAAGTTCTTGTGTTCTAAGGTTGTGTATGTGATCGGTATGTGAGTTTACCTAATTTAGTCAAATGTCCCCGTAATTAAGGAATATGGGATTTGTTGCAGCTAAGCTTAAATGTGTTAGGTTGTATGGCTTAATGGGTTGGAAAAACTCATAAGCCTTAAATGCTTCCATTTATAGACCATAACAAAAAAGAAAAATGAAGACAAAATGAGAACCAAAAGGATCAAGTTTATGACTAGTATGTGATGATTTCACTTTGTAAGGGTCTGAAAATGAACAAAAAACATCACATCCAACAGTCTTCATTCTTTTTAAGTATAAGATCTTTTTGGAAGATAGATGACATTTTACCTCTGATAATCAAAATTCAAAACTCCAAAAAATAATGTCATCATGTTCCCTTAATTATAATGAAATTAAGCACATCCCAATGGTTTTCATGAACTCATACCAAGTTTAATTCATTTGATATTTAATTATTTCATAAAATTTAGGATACAACTGAACTTTTATTCAAGACTATATTTATTTTCCCGCACACCCAAATTTTATAGCCAACATGATCGAACCTTCGCATTTTAGCTACATCAATACCTTGCATTTAACCCGATTTACTTGGTCTATCATTCACTAGCTACAACCATTAGGCCCAAAGCCAATTTGTGAGTTCCCCACATCATAGACTACATTGAAAGTGAGGTGCTGCATATTACCAATTATTACAACTTCACTATCATCCTCATTTTCAACGAAGGGTAAGCATGCTTGAGATTCACTGAAATGAAAAATTCTCCCAGTGGAATGTAAGTTTGTCATCACTTCGCCATCATAGATCAATGAAATACGTGGTAACAACACATTTGGGAAGTTAGTGAAGTTATAGCATGTGTCAAGATTTAATATTGGAGGCGCCATCGGGTAATTGCTCTTTTTTTTTTAAAAAATACTGCGAAGGGCGGAGTATGCTGTGGGTGGCAAGTAGCTAAATGCTGTGCCAGAGTCCAACATAGTTTCAGGTCCGCTGAATATTGTAGGTGGAAGGGTGAGCATTTCACCCCCAACTGAAATGGCAGTGAGATTGAGGAAGTAGAAGGATGGCATTTCAGGCTTGGTTAGCATAGGTGTATACTTCACCAGGGCCTGATTTACCTAGTTCAAGATATCCAGCTACATTTGGCCTTGATGGTAGACAATATGAGAATATTTTGTTATACACTTGAGGTGTTTGGTTAATAATTGAAATAGGCCCACGACCAAGGCCTAATAACCCATCTTCGAGTCCAAAAACTCCGGTGTTGTTATGTCCACAACCAAAGACAAAGTTATAAATAATATCATTATTAAAGTACAAGACATCTTCAACGAGTGAGCCATTAGTAATAGAATTATCATAATATTCTTCCTCGTAGATGCAGGAGAAGTTAGAGGAGCAACCAAATTTTTCAAGTTGGGAACAATAACTAGTGTCGCATGGGATGTTGGTGAAGGTGAAGGACTTGGTTGGGTCATAAATTGGATTTTTTTGGGTATGACAGTTAACGCAGGGTTCACATTGGGTCCAAGTGAGATCAGAACCTGTGTCGAATGTAAATAAGAAGAACTTGGTAGGAGTGCCTAGGCCTATGTCTATGATATAGCTATAGGCACTAATATCATAATCAATGATTGTCGGAACTCTTGCTAAAAGAGAGTCGCCAAAATGGTTTAGGCGGGTGGTGGCGTTGGATGCCCGACGGTGGATGTAGTCTACGCGGGCTTGGTCCTGACGGAAAATCTCCACATGAGACGGCTTGTCTTGGTGCATCCGGGATGAGCATAGGCCATGTAAGTGGACAATGTTGAGCTTGGAAGGGCACGTGCCTGTGACAATTGGAACAAATAATTATTGTACGTATTGAGTTTTTTTTTTTTTTGTATCACGTTTAAGCTATCTATCAAATGAGCTTATGCTTGAAATATTTATCAAATGAGCTTAACCTCTACATGATTTCTTATTATTCTAATTATTTAATGAAAAAATAAGTCTCTTATAAGGTAATACAAAATTATTGAAATTGATCACAAACTTCTTTTACGCACGACACAGGAGTTGCTTAGCAATAGTGACTTGACATCAATGACATCGTGTTCTTCGACTAGCTTTTGTGCTGATACTAGAAAATTCTTTTCTATTAGAAGAAAATAGAAGAACAAATTGAGAAGAATATAATAGAAGAGTAGAGAAAAAGATGACGCCATGAGAATAGAACTTTGAATCCCTACTTAGCATAACTTGAAGGTGTAAGCCAAGTGGAGACGGGGCTTTATAGATTGTGAATTTTTGTGCATAATGGGGTTATTAGGAATTTAGTTTATAATATAATTCATAATATTAAGGGAAGATTAGATGATAGAAGAAGGGATCAAATAAATGTTTTGGCCTATAAAGAAGGAATCAAATAACTATTGCTGGGTCTTGTTCTTATATTACAAACTTGTTGATTTATTTCTTAAATTTTAGTTTGCGTAAAGTTATAAATTAATTGCATTCCTATCAATCAACTTTTTTTGAAAGGTGTTAGCCGTTGAATTTGGACCTATGTTTGATCAAGTATAAACATAACAGCTAATGAAGAGTGTTGAAAAGTTAGAATATGCTTGAATCTTTCCCCTGACAAAACTTGTTATTTTTTAAAGAAAAAAAAATGAAAAGTATTATGAGTGAGAAATTCGTTTAGGGAAGAAGGTATTTATTAGTTTATTAGAATATATTTTATATAATAATTAGATTTTTTACAAAATGGGCAATTTATTTTACAAAAAAGAAAAATCTAACTCACAAATATAACTCAATAAAGATTCTGACTGTGTTGATAAATCAAGTTGTATCATTGTATGAGACTTGAATTATGTTGGTTGAGCTCATTGGAAGGGTTGCACTTGTTCTCTTTGTGCTCGGGTTCGAGTTTTTTGTACCCAGTTTTTTTCCTTTAACTTACAACACTATGTTGTTGTATAATCATGTATGAGATAGATAGAAAGAGGAGTGTCACAACACTCTAGATTTTGAGGTAAATACTTGGTTAGTAATACAAGGGACATAGCGTGGATTCTTGTGGCACTCAAAACCTTGCAAAGTAATGTTGCAAGTGCGTTAGGACATTTTATTTTTCATTTCTCTTTTTTAACTTGATGTGTTGTGTCACTTGGTTAGTTTTATTTTTTTCTCTTTATCTATTTTGTGTAGAGAATGGTGTATGGAATAAGGAGAGACAAGGAGAGAGTGAGAAGGAAATAAATATGTACAAATTCTCCCAATATTCATGGTTAATTTCTTAGTGTTGTGTGGATTGAGTTTTTTTCATATTTCAAAATTTTCCACTTTAAATCTTGACATTTTTTTGCAACATTTTCTATTTCTTGTTTGTAGACACTATGCGGGTTACTTTCCCAGCACAATCTTGTGATGGGAAATTTCACTTAAAACAAAAGTGCCAAGTTATGTGAGAAAGGCTAATTGTAAATAGAAATTAGTATGGCACTTAGTGCAATTCACCAAAATAGAGTTTGCCACTTATATGAAAATATGATGCAAAATTGTAACTTAAAATTATTTTAGACAATATTTTAAAGAACTAATTGTAGTGGAGGTTTGGGATGTTTAGTTTTATTACACTTTTAAAAGAACCAAGTGTAGCAGAGATTTGGGATATTTAGTTTTGTTGCATATGCATTAAATGCACGTTTATTCATATTATGAAAATTTAAATTATTTTTTCTATGATAAAATTATATAATACTAATTTTATCCCTATAAGTAATTCTAATTAATAATTATATTAGTGAAGTAAAATATTTTTTAACTTTGATAAAAAAATGAGTGAAAAATATTTCATAAAAAAGAATATATATTTACAGATTTCTTAAATTTTCTTAACGTTGATCAAAACTGTTTTTAAAAAAATAATCTTCTTAGTATTTTAAATTCAAAAGCCCAATAATCAGGAAATGAGATTTTCCTTTATGCAGGACAAAAGAAAATATTGTAGAGAACAGATGGATTATGTACTCGATCATAGTTAGTTAGACAAGTTGAAAAATTATAAAGTAGTGAATTTGCACTAAAAGGAATAGCTTATTCCAAATTCTTATAATCCAAAGGACAGACATAATATAAAGCGTTATTGAACAAAAGGAGGATGGACATGGCTAATTAAATTTTCAAATACTACATTTCAGGGAATTGCAACTTTACTTGAATTTATCTTCAAAGGAAACATCCAAGTTAGCCTTGGAAAATATCGACAGAAGAAACAAGCCTACAAGACACAATGTAATGAAAATTTACTCTTGATAGAGGCCTTATTGAAAAGAAATGATAATAAGATTTATTCCTTCTACTACAATATAAGTATGTGCTTACACAATTAACAGAGGAAAGGGTCGAAAGACTATTCAGTAGTTTAAAAGTTGGCAAGTAATAATGATCAGGCAAAATTAAGAAATGAAAGTATTTCAATAAAAAAATCATTTTCTCCAAATTTCACATTACCTAAGAATTGAAAATTTCAATATTTGAGAAATCTATCAAGATTAATTTTCTATATCAACTAAACATATAGAAAATATCCATTTGTCAATTCAGGTTATAACATACAAACCAATCCTCTCATCGGTTCCCCTTTCGTAAAGGGCAAATCATTATCATAATGACTACAACTTTTTATATAAACAAAAAAAAAGTTTTTAATAATATTCATGTGCAATAACATAGAAAAAATATTTGTACATTACAATAATGATTTGATTCAAAAGACAAAAAGGGTATTAGATCAAAAGATATCTAAAATAAAAGCCGTAATATAAGAATCTCAAATTCTTTAGAATCATAAATAGTACAATTTCATAAATCAACCATGGTGAAATCATAATCTACTTGACTAAAAAAACTCTTCATACCTTTATTCAAAACCCACGACCTATCGAGGGACTCAAAAAATAATTAAATATTTACATAATAAATAAACATAAAGTTCTTTCAATTTTATGTGCGTTACGAAGAAACCATATATATATGAAATAGACAATATCATCACAATTAATGATTATTTTTTAAAGAAAGACATATTTTTGAAGTGTTTTGTTACAATATGTATAAAATGATAGTTTGAGGAGGTTGTGAGACCTCAAAGAACTTTCTCGAGGCTAACTAAGAGTGGGATAAATTGGTAATTTTATATTTTCTTTAAAAAAAAATAAAAAATTTTTATAATTTTTTCAATATCTAAAGAATAGAAAACTTTATCTGTTGAAGTAAAAGAAAATTAATTTTATAATAATGAAAAGGTAAGAGTTTTCAACCACATAATTAGTCATAGAAAAATAAAGCGTAGAGAATAATAAGAACAAACACACCAGAATTTATAGTGGTTCGGTCCAACCTGACCTACGTCTACACCCTAGATTTCTCCTTTCTAGGTATTACACTAAAACTAGTTTCTTTCTTTTTTACCTAACAGAAAGGTAAAGATGCCCTTCCAAAATCTCTTCAAACAACCTGCTGTGGCAGAGGACCTTACTCTTTTTCACCCTCTTGGTTAAAGAAAAGAATATGGAATATATGTTCACCCTCTTATTGAAGACAAAGAAATTGTAATCCTTTTTTTCCCACCTATTGATGGAAGAGAACCATGTCCTATTATTTTTCTCCTCAGAGCCACCAAAAGATCAATGAAAAATCTTGAAGAAGATAGGGAAGATCCTTGCTTGGAGTAAGCTAGTGAATCCCTCTCAACTCTCTCTAATAAACAACTGTCCCTCTGTTCTCTCCCAAAGTGTAGCTTAAGTCCTCTATGCCCTCTCTCATGGAACTTAGTAATAAACGTCTTTTTGGAAATAAGGCCCCAAAAGATATTTAAAAAGAGCCTCTTAGAATGTCCAAAATTTTAACCTGTCAACTATGATAATCTAGTATGATCAAGGATCATCATGTACAATTAGTTCAAAGTAATCTTATTAGCAATCTAAGAAGAGATTTAAATTGTACTATCAGTTCAAAGTGAAGAATGGATCATCAAGGATGATTGAGAGCATCGTCCATTATAATTAATAAAAAATAACCTTTTTAGATAGTACAAATTGCATTGTTTTATATGATCTGTTCAAGAGTTCGTACTGATAATATAGTATGATATGTGATGATAAAAAATTTTCCCATGTTGAGCTCAATTTATATAGTATAAAATTTGTGGTCATCCTATACGTTTAGTTGAAATATTATAACATGTTGTCTTGGATGATACGTGATGATAACTAATCATCCCATGCAAGAATCAGGTCATATAGTACAATCATCACTAATCAACTTGTATGATCTGATTTAATAAATTAACCATAATTACTCCCCTAACCATTGGATCAATTTAGGCATGGCTATCATATATCATACAATATGATATATATCATAGTATTATTAGTCATAAATTTTTTATTATAAAATTTTATTTAAATTATGATTGGTGGCTACTTTGATGATTATAATCGATCATACTTTATGATAGGAGCCATACAATATGATTAATTTAATCAATTTTAAATATTGCAGGTTCCCTATTTAAGTATTTCATTGTTAACTGATCATTTGGTATGATAAAAAACTTAATGTTTGATTAGTTCAGAAAACTTAAATTTTTCTTAACTCACTAACTCACCATCTTGAGTGTGTATCCATGTAAGGTTCCTTAGCTTTAGGATCCACCAAAATATACAATTGAATTCAAAAAGATAAAAAGTATAAAAGACTAAAAATACATACTTTAATCCTAA